GTACACTACTATACTGTGAGCATATGCTTATATGTATATCATACAACATACTACACTCATCATCAACACTATTAGACATAGAAGCTTCAGATTTACCGTGTATATACATATGACGTATACAAACTAGAGACTTGTGCTTTGGAATGTACATACATTAGAACATTATGATAACGTTCTGAAAGTTTCATTTAGATTGTACGTCTAGAAATTAAATTATTCAACAAATAAATTCTCAATATATTGCCCACAGTGCAGCGCGACCCAAGCGCAGTCGCTGCTTACTGCACAGTTAGAAGACCGTGTTTTTATACGTGCATAAATGATGTATAAAATGATTAAAATATCAGAGAGCCTTCTTGTTAGGTTTGCATGCAATCAAACAGATGAATTTGAAGGGCTGGCAAAATTTCACGGATGCATCAAAACAATTAAAATCTTTTGATTAGTCTTAGTTAAAGTATATATTATTCAAGTTTTTTAATTGAAATAGGTTTACTTTCCATGAAAAAATTGAATTTTCGTCGAAAAATCGGCTTGCTGGCTAAATGTGTAAAGGCAGCCGCCTTTGATCCACGAGCAGATACTCAATTTTGTCCAATTTATTTTGAAAGGTATTTATGTCGTCGCTACGAGCTAGGTAGCAACTGACTATTACGACCTGGATGTAACACTTTCCTAACTTGCTTTCTAGTAGCTTGTCCACTGCTTATGGGTATCCATATGGCAGCAGTCTTGGCGTCGTCCTCCAACCAGACTCCGGTTATACTGCTCACCGAAGATCTGCGTTACGATCAAAAGTGCATCTGCAGTTTTGCTCCGGTGAAGATTATCTTAGAGAATTTTTACAATTTTGCTGTGGTTTGTCGTATGCTTTGTGCGATCCTGGCATATGCTCAACGGGCACGCCTTTTAAATTATGACCTGCCTGACAAAACCTATTTTGATGTCTGGGCTTAGCAATATCTATGATAATAGGCTTTGTAAGGTTACAAACGCTCTTACATGCTGTTCGGGGCAGTGACTTTTTTACGTAAGTTCGCTGATGAACTATCAAGAACTTTTCGCGCTGCTGCTGGTTAGTTTCTTCAGCATCCAGCAACAGGGATCACTTTCGTCTTGTGATGTTCTACTGAGTTTTTTTTTAGGGGTCCCGACTGCAAGCCGCTATCATATATGGTCGAAAAATTCACTTTAGTAAGTTCTTTCTATTCTTCTAATGTTTCTGCACACATTAATTCACGATTGGTCGGCTGCCTAATCGCTATTCAGTGGGGCCGATCGTGGAGGCTGTGTGTAAACTTGAATTACCAGGGACAAGGATTGCTATTGGAGGTCTCTGGTTTTATTTCGTAACCCCATCCCACCGTAATTATTTTATTAGTTCTTCGAAGGATTAATGGGATTCGAGTGGAGTAGTCTTGACCAAAAAGTTTCTTATTTCATATTATAGCAATAATGAGCTCAAGCTATATATGAATATTTCTCTTTTAAGTTATAAATAATAAATTAACAATTATTGTATTTTTCATTCCACTGCTGCCACAAGGGAGAGAAGTACGATGGGCGCAAGGCGGATGTTTGGTCATGTGGAGTAATTCTGTATGCTCTGCTGGTGGGAGCATTACCCTTCGACGATGACAACTTGCGTCAATTGCTTGAAAAAGTAAAACGGGGTGTGTTTCATATTCCACACTTTGTTCCACCCGATTGTCAAAGTTTACTTCGTGGTATGATTGAGGTTAATCCAGATAGACGACTAACGGTAAGTTATAAGATACAAATGCAGAATATCTTATTTAAAATTTTATCTGCTAATAGGATGGATTAAATACATAAGACAGATAGATATTACCTTAAAAAAAACGGCTAGGTATGTTTCGATACGCTCACGAAAGAGAATAGACCAAAAAAGAACAAGTAAGAAAGCTCCAGTCACGACTGCTCGACTACGAGATCGTTTGAGCCCGACGAAGAACTGATATTTCAATAATTCTTAGCCTTTTTCTGCATACACAAGAAACACACAGACATGCATGGGCTGCAGTGTAGTCTTACCATGGAATTTAATTGTTTAATAACTTTTTTTCTTGCCAAAGAATAAGTCTATAAGATTTGAAATACGCCTTCTGATCCCGAATCTCTACGAGCCCCAACCACTTATAATTCGAGCATCATGTTTTTTTGCAGTGCGCAATTATCATTACCAATAAAGATAACGCATACCAATTCATAACGTATTAAAAAGAATTTTTGTCTCTTCAAGATGAACAAAAAGTTTTGCTCTACTTCCAACAAAAACAACAATATTATTCAAACGGTAGACTTAAGAGATAACAAAAATTCGACTACTTTTAATTTGAACGCTGCTAATGTGATTTACTATCATACTTTAAAAAAAAATTTAATTTTCAGAAATGTTCCTTTGTTGCTCATTTTGAAGTTTGCTTTTTAATGATGGCGGCTAATACTAAATATGATCAATCAGGTTTAGTCTGGGTTATTTGATGATCGACCGAAAACCTCCATTTGATTCCAGCCACTGATGCTGAAAAGTTCCAGTTCTGATATTGATGGTCGAAAACTATAATATAAAACATTATTTTGTATTTTTCAGCATTAACCGTCCCTTAATGAAATACAGTTTTCCTAATCTTTTGGCAGACATACATCCCCATACCATACTTCGCAGGAAAATTTGGTTTTGTGCAATTTCCGTCTGTCCGTATGTCCATCTGTCCGTGTGAATGAATGTTTTTTCAGCGCTATTGAAGCTAGAGAGTTGAAATTTAGAACACATATATCTCGTATATATCTCAGATTTATAAAGTTTTAAAATTTCCATGACCGTCTACTAGGGGCGTGGCAAATTGGAAAATCTATTTTCCAATATGTCACAAATCATATTTGTTGAAGAGCTCGAAAGCTGAAATTTGGATGTATAGACCATCCAATATCAAGAGCTATGATGGATATATTATAGCTAGAACGCTGAAATTTTGCAAGTGCCAATACTTTGTGGCGTGTAACTCATACATATGTGTGTAGTATAGTGAGTGGCGTGTTACTCGCGCTTATATTTAAACACCTGATTTCCTGGGAAATTAGGATATAATGGTTTTGTTAAAAGTATGTAACGTATATAACTGAGGCGTGGCAGACCCCACAATGTATATATATTCTTGATCCGGGCAACGAGTTGACGCGATTTAGCCCTGTCCATCTGTCTGTCTGTCCGTATGTTTGAACGCATCGCTCTCAGAAGATATTAGAGCTAGAGACTTGAAATGACCTTTAAAATTCGATAAATCACTCTGTTACGTTTATTGATTAAAAATATTCAGGTCCAAGTCAGATGCCAGTATAGCTAATTGGAAATAATTTTACATTTTTGTTTTTTGTCAATTATTTAATAGAATATGTAGACCATATGCTGAAAGTTTCATTAAATTGCGTTAAGTCAATGGAAGCTAAAAAATAATTAACAAACGTACCTTCAGCAGCTAAAATAAGCTATAAGTTCGCACACATACGTTTAAACTTCTAGCACGTTCTTAGAATCATATCAACAGTAAGTTTAGTTTTGGTAGATGGCGTTGCATCAGTAAATCTATTTTAATTTTGCCATTACAATTTCCAAAAGTAAAATGGCGTTGTGACTAGCGGCGTGACGCTTGATCGAAAAGTGTCGGATTCGAATCCATGAATATATAGAAAACTTAACCTTATAATTATTTGGACAGCTTAGTAATCAACATACCTCTATAAACAAAGCATTCAAAAAGCTTAACATACATAATTCATAAGGTACAACTTATTTATTATTTCCAAATGTACATGTAATTTAGTTAACCGAAATAAATCGTCATGCCTGGGTTACGGCTGGTGGTAAAGGTGAGTTGGAGCTGGAATTGCCCATGATGGAGGTGGTGCAAACACATGTTATACCTACTGCCACTGCTGTAGATCCTGATGTTTTAAATGCTATATGCTCCCTGGGATGCTTTAAGGAAAAGGACAAGCTCTTACAAGAACTTCTAAGCGCCAGGTGCTGAATAAATCATTGTACACGAAAATCCGTTTAATATCTTATTACTTACAGCCATAATACCGAGAAGGTCATTTATTTTCTTCTCCTTGAACGAAAGCGACGCCGGCCGGCCCTTGAAGATGATGAAGAAATAACACAAAAACCACGCAATGAACTGGATACAGTGGATCCACCCCGGAAACGATTAGATAAATGTCGTATTAATGGCACAAATGCGCCTAGCTATGGTCAGATTTCTGAGGGCTCTCCACTTACGCCCCGACGACAGGCCTTTAAGTAAGTTTCCTTAATCTCGTTCATTACTGCTCACTAGCTTTTATAATTATTCAATAGTTTTAGATCGTACAGTAGTACACGTAATCATCAAAGACGCTCTCCTACAACGTCAGTGCGCAGCTCATCATACCACAGTCCAACTCGTTGTAACTCACCAATAAGCTTAACTCAGCAACAAGCTAGTGCTATATCGCGGCCTACCTCTCCTGCTGCTGGTTCACGTCATTCAACTTATAGTGATAGGGATCGTTCTGGATCGGGGCATCATACGGCGGTCAGCCGGACCCCGTCCCATAATTCACAGAAAAGCATTGAGGGAGATGTCATAGTCGTTAGAGAGCCGCACTTGGAGCACCGTGATTCAACACGTCATGCTCAAGAACGTAGAGGTAGTGGTAGCGGTTCTCCTCGGGACCGTAGTGAATGTGTGCAATTACCTAGCAGCCCGGGTGGTGATTCGTGTGGGAATTCCGCTGCAGCCTCACCTACCGTGCATAATCGGACAAATTCTGGCCCGAAAATTTCTATTGGTATGATTAAAGTCAAAATTTTATTTATCCGTATTTTTTATATGCTTGGCATGTAAATTCATTTTACTCTTTTGTAATACAGTTGTGAATCCAAGTGTTCTACCGTTGACCAATAATAGCAATCCAGGCGTCCCTGGTTCACCCTGCAATATGCCAGGAGGACAACTGTGGAAAACAAGACTTACCAATATAAAAAACAGTTTTCTTGGCAGTCCGCGTTTTCATCGAAGGAAAATGCAGGGTATTTGTAATTTATATAAAAGTTAAGCTTTACTACTGATTGATCTATCTATTTTTCAGTCTCCGCTGACGAGGTACACTTAACACCGGAATCATCACCAGAGCTTACTAAACGTTCTTGGTTTGGTAACTTAATAACTACTGAGAAAGATGAGACATTTACCATATTGGTAAAGGGCAAACCTATAGCCACAGTCAAGGCACACTTGATACATGCATTTTTATCCGTAAGATTCCTAAAATTTGAATACTTAAATACTTTATTAATTTTTAGCTATTAAAAAACTTCAAAACGGAAAATTTGCTTCTTACACATATCTAATCAAATATATATGTCTTTAATTATAAGAGAATAAATATAAAAATATAAATTCTTCAAAGGGTTCAGGGGATTTCGTGATCGAGCAGATTCGACTAGAGTTTCATAACTTTTTATATTCTGAGCCCACTGAAATCCGCAGAAAGAGGCATGGCAGACCTCAAAAAGTATATATATTCTTGATCAGGGCGACGAGTTGACGCGATTTAGCCCTGTCCGTCTGTCTGCATGTTCGAACACATCGATCTCAGAAGATATTACAGCTAGAGACTTGAATTATTTTTAGAATGCGCGTATATACAGAATAAAAGTTTATTTCTAGACGTAAAATCTTAATGAAACTTTCAGAACTCTATGATACTCGATAAAAAGTTATCGGATGGTTTCATTTTTTTATTTATTTTTTTTTTTTTTTAATTTTTTTAGTATATTTTGTATAAGCTGAACTTTCTCAGTTTTAAATACACATAAATGCGTATATATGTATAAAACTGAAACATTATTTGGGATTGGGTGTATTCAATTGAAGAAATTTATTTTTTTCTTATCTTAAATTCAAAAAGTCTTTATTAGAGTTTGTTTATATATTTTGTTATAGCTATATTTCAATTTTACAGATGGCAGAGTTATCTCATAGTGTAGTCTCCCCCACATCATTCCGTGTGGAGTACAAGCGCAACGGCAATAGCTCCGTTATGTTTCAAAGGCATGTTAAATTTCAGGTATTTATCCCAAATTAAAAGATTATTGTCATCTACGCTTAATACATTAATAATATTAATATTAATAATATTTGTAATAGGTTGACATCAGTCCCATATGCAAGCAAGGCGATATAGCGGATATGCTATTCGCTCTAACATTTACACTGCTATCAGGTAAGTAATAAATGTGTATATGCATGATACAAATTTGCCAATGCGCCGCTACAATTATTCATTTGAAACGACTTCAGGGCGCGTTTCAAATTTAGATGCGTTCGCTCCGAAAATTAAAAAGTTACCGAGTTTTTCTAGCTCTAAAAATGTAGGAGATATAAACTTTGGCTACGCCCCCTGATGTCGTGGACATTTTCACTGTATCAACCCAAATATATACAGATGTTGTATGTACATATACTGTAATAACCACTATTTCGGGTTTATATTCAACGTTTATTTGTTTCCAAATTATAAAGTGTTAAAATTTTCCCGATTAGGATAAAGCTGTATCTCTCAGAGTTTTACGGCTAAAATTTTGCACGTAAGCTAATACTATGATTCCATAAAGATTAATAAAAAAATTATATATTTATATAAAAATTATATCTCCTGAAGTATAAGAGGTGTCTGCGCTCGGTAGGGTCTTGGTAAATAAAGAAATTTTCAATTTTTTACAAATACTGAAAATACATGTGCAATACAAAAACAATGCAATAACAATTGTGTTTCGAATATAGAACAGTTTATAAAATAAAACAAGTAAGAAAGCTTTAGTCGAGAGTGCTCGACTACGAGATCCCCTGAACCCTTTGAGCAAATATTTCAATAATAATTCGCACATACACACGCACACACACACATGATGATTTTCTTTTAGAGTATAACACGTCACTCAGAATATTCACTCCACCTTTCATATAGGTAACATACGGCGCTTTCGGCGTATTTGTGAACACATACAATCCCAGGTCTGCTCAAAACGTTTTCCGGGCCCAAGCAGTCCACCAACAGTAGCTTCAGTCACGCAAGCGGTCTCAGAAAGTTCATCATGTGGGTCAGTGTCAAGCGAACGCTTGTCCTATAAGCGGCAGGTAGTAATCTCATTTTTAATAAGAATTTTGTGTAGTTAATAGTCATATTTATAAATTTTTTTTTTTAGATTGAAAATGACATGGAAAACGATTCCATATTTTCTTATAAATCTGGAAGTGGACGCCGGGCATCCACGACAAATAACAACAATCCCAATCCGGTGGATATTACAGGCAGTCCCATTGCAGTTCGATCTAAGTAACTAGCTTAAAATTTCGAATGAGCAAATCAAGTTTTATTTGATTGATTTTCCACAGTTCTGAAACAGCTGAGCATGACCGCAACCGTAAAATTCAGGGTGATCAACAGACAACAACGATGTCCGGGAGTGCAATCGCATGAGAATTATTTCTCTGATTTAGTTGCTTATTTTCCAATTATCATTTTTATTTATTCGTACTTTTTTATTAGTTTTGATTTATGAATTTAACCAATTAAAAATGGATTTATATAAAAATATAGCTCATATTAATTAACTTTAAATAGATTATTTTAATTAAAAATGTATTATATAAGTATATTTATTTTTCATAAAAATAAATACAACAAAAAATAAAAATTATTATCAGAAGATATTGAAAATGTTCCCAACTGCTAATAAAACAGTTTGCAGCTTAAGTCTCTATGCTAACCTATAGAATAATTTTGTATAGTTATGCTATAAAATTTAATATTAGCTATGCAAATATAATACTTCTTAAAAATTATTTAGAATGTACATAAATATAAATGCATTGTAAAGGCTGCTTCTGATATGATAATATAATTTAGTATATATGTAAGATTATAAGAATATATGTATCTGTATATGTATAAATATTTAATACATTTATATATACATACACACATATTAATTATATAGATATTGTGCACTTTATGCGTCTTGAATAGCAACATTATTTGTATTCATGTTTCAATATGTAATATCTCTTACAACATGAGGCTTTTATTTTTTTGCTGCTAGTTGCAAACGTTATTTTACAAAACTGATTATAATAGGCCTAAAATTAAAAACCATTGTCTCTAAAAATTTTGTTGAAAAAATGTTTCTTTTTTTCACCATTTGTTTATATTTATTATTATTATTTATTAAATATACACAGCAAAAACGTTGCATTCGGGTGTACAGCTTTCCAAATATTCATTTGCGGTCCAACTGCTCCTGGGTTAAAACCATATTACCAAATATAGATTTTCCCATTTTGTACTCTATATTTTGGCATCTACAAATTCACATATATTTTTGATATAATAACTGAGAATATCAACAGTAAGTAGTTCTTCACTGCTACGATTATTGATTATATATTGTTTTACCAACGCAAATACATATGTATATGCTCCATATTTAAATTCTCTAGCTACAAAAGCGGCCAAATGGATTGCGTTGATAAAACATGACAGAAAACGGATTTTGCACAAATCCAATCTGCATACAATCGGAAAACGCTAAAACCGTATAAGGTTTCTCATGAAATTTTGTTGCAATAATGGCACAGACGGTATAAGTGGATCTATATATAATAAGTGTATAAATAATCTAATATATTTGCTTTGCTTTATTTAAATAGGCTCTTATTTAAAAGCAGAGATAAAGCCTATTTTCTTTGAATCATTTGAAAATACATTGCACTAAATCAGGTGAGCACAAATCAAATATTTAAAGCGATTGTTTATTTCTTTAAGCTAAAACACATGCATACACTAACTTCGTTTCAGCGGAACTCGTAGTTCTTACTTGTTTAATGATAAGTAGTCCTATAATTAAGTGAATTTCTTGAAAGTGTCTTCCACAACATGGAAATTGGGAAAATACCTGTGTGTTATTTTAGTTAGCATTTTAATTTTTTAGCAAGCTTATTATACCCTGAACTCATTGAAAATGGGAAATCAGGGTATAATGTTTTTGTGTAAAAGTATGTAACAGGC